ATATAACACATCAATGTCTGTGTGCATATGGCTCAATGAGAATAAAAAAGAAAAAAAAAGAAACAAAATAGTTTTCTAAAATTGTACTTTCATTTTTTTATAGTCCTTCTGTGGTTAGAGTTACACCTACTCATCAAATTATATGCAGAAATAAATGTTTGTTTATATGATAATATAGCTTTTAATCTTTTGTATATAAATTACATCTCTGGGAATTTCAATCTATAGCTGGCAGAAGAAGCAGTTATTTGAGAAAAAATCTAAGATGAAATGTGGTACATATAATTATATAATCTTTTGTAATTACAAAGCTATGCATTTTTTGTTTAAGAAAACAATATTTTCTGAGTCTTATTTGTAAAAACCAAATACTATGAAATTTAGTCTAGCTAAAAACATACTTTAAAAACTACCAAATAACAATATTCAATCCTATAAAATAAAATGCATTTAGACAAACGAATAATTGTTTTCCATACATATTCAGAATCGAGCATTAACTCTTCTGGGAACCCTTTTTGGGTTTCCCTCTAAGTACTCTTTTGCCTTATTCTCCTTTTTTCTCTAGGTCTATACACACATCACAAATAAAACAATTATCAAATCACACTTTCATTGTATATTTGCTTTTCTGACATTCTGCTAGATTGTAAAAATTTGTAACATTGATATATTTTCAACCAGTACTTCAAATTGGGGAATAGAGGAAATTTACTGACTGCTTCCTACAAGTTCCAGTTATAGTGCCAGGGTGTTTTCCTTGCATAATTATGTTTATTACTGACAACACTGTGGGTAAATATTCTGATCCACGTTTTCCAAAAGAGGCTGAATCACAAGAGCCTTTAAATGTCAGGACTGAAACCCAGCATTTAATTTTTAAATGACATGGGAGAAGTTCTAAACACAATCAAGTTTGAAAACCAGATTCATAATCTCTTTTCCTAAAAGAAATCTCATCAAAATTATAATAAAGGAATTTAAAAGTTGGAGGAAGCCATTATTGCATAATGGGCAGGATGGGGTTCAGACAACCTCAATCTCTCTAGTGCCATCATAGAATGCCAAACAATTAATTGAGCATAAAAGCAGAATATTTTTAACCCTAAAAATGAAGCCTACCAATTGACAAACCAAAGCATATGTAGAATCATAATTTACTTTTTATATTACCATGTTATTACATATAAATGGATAACCAAGTCTTATCAAATATTAGAATAAATCCTTCAACAGGAAATATTGAGACCAAGGTTAAAAAAATGCAAATGACCTCTGAGAACATAGAGATAATTTGGCTAATAACAAGAACTTAAAAGTCAGAGATATTTAAGAAGATACTATACTACCAATTTAAGAACAGGATACTATAAAATAAGGCTATGCAAAGAATATCAAAGTACGTGTGTGTGTGTGTGTGTGTATGAAAAAATTGGAAAAGAAATTTGTTGATAAAAAGAGGATAAATCAATAAGATCAAAAGTTGAAGTGATAATATAGGTCTATAGAGGATCCAACTATCAGGTTCAATATAAGACAAATAAAGATTGCAAAATCTCAGGAAAGAAAGTTATCAAGTAAAAAAATTTAAGAGAATATTCCAGGGCTTATGAAAACAACTTCACAATTAAAGCATTTACTGTTTATTCAGCACAGTGAATAATAAGACAACCCCCATTAATACATTCTAGAATAATACCAAGTTATGATGGAAGATCCTAAAAACTTCCAGTGTAGGGAAGAACAGATGCATAGCAGAATTTCTCATAACAAATAATGAATGCTGCAGGGCAGTGGAGATTTATTTTGAGTTATGAGGAAAAATAATTACAACTTAGATAACATCCTGAGAAAAATATAAATCAAGCGTAGGAATAATATAAGGACATTCTTAGAAGTGAAAAATCTTGGGAAATTTACCTATCTATACTTTTTCTTAGAAGTTTTCATAAAGGTGAGTTCATAAGGATGAAGTGAGTAAATATTAAAGAAAAATATCTTATTTTCCATCTAAGGAGAAATAATGTTCAAGAATCACATTGCTCCAGTAGGTCCAAAAACAATCAGTTCAAATAAGTGTTATACTAGAAAAAAAGGGACTTCAAAGATTTTATGTACTTCTTTAGCATTTACTATTTTTTTCAGTTAAAATGATGGTGTCAAAATATATTGTGTATATATTAATAGTATAAGAAATAGGGAGGTTATGAATGTAGCTTAGTGGTAGAACATATATTTACCATGTGTGAAGCCCTGGGTTCAATGTCCAGCACCAAAGGAAAAAAGAAATAGGATTAAAATATATTTTATTGTAGGAAAAGTAACGAATAAAAGATAAAATTAATGATATTGGGAGAAAGTAATATAAGGAAATAAGTGAGCTAGATCAAGTTGAATTAACAAAATAGTCACAAAGATATATGAATTACTTACATTTATGGAGGTGACCATTTGAAAAACTAAAATTTTGCATAACTGAAAAAATTAAAAGTAAGTGCCTCAGGGACAGGATCTCAGGAGGCTGGAGTTTGCTTATTTCAAACTCTTATGCATATTTAAAATATTAAAGCATGTGCAAGTTAAATTTTGAGAAAAAAATTTAAAATTAGGTGAAAATTAGAAGATATATGTACATGTACAATATGATCACTATGCTACAGGCACAAATTACTACAAGTGTGAGTAAATATACATGTACACATGCTCAATTAATGTATACTTTCCAAATATTAAAAGCTTCAAGAAGCATCATAAATAGTGCAATAATGAAAAAGGAGAAAAAAGAAAGGACTCATGAAAAGTTCATGGGAGACTTTTAGGTTCAGCTGAGGATATATTTTCACAAACCATCTCTTGGAGAAACAATATACAGATTTCTATGGGCTGAATTCTTATGTCAAAAACTTAAATCACCAATGTAATGATATTAGGAAGGGGACCTTTTGGAGGTAAATACAACATGGAACAGAGATCTCATGAATGAAATTAATAACCTCATATAAGTGACTCCTTCTACCATAATAAGAGCACAGGAAGGAAAAAGGGACTATGTATGAAATAGAACTTGGGTCCTTGCCAGATACTGAATCTGAGGGTATCTTGTCCTTCAACATATCAGACATCAGAACTGTGAGAAACAAATTTCTGGTTGTAATCTACCCAATTTACAGTATTTCATCATAACATCCCAAATGCGCTAAGATGGAAAATTGGTGATAAGATGTAGAGATGTTTGTGTAACAAATATCTAAAAATGTGGAAGTGGCTTTGGAACTGAAAGTGGAGCTATAAAAATTTTGAGGTGCATGCTCAGCATAAACTATATAGGGTGATTCTGATAAAGGCTCAGAAGAAGAAAGCTGTAGAGAAAGCTCTAGCCTTCTTAGAGATTATCTGAGAGAATATGGACAGAATATAGGAGGAAATCTGGACCAAAAAAGGACATTTTGATGAGTTTTTATATGAAAATAAGAAACACATTATTGAACAGTGGAAGGAGATCCTTTTAAAAAATTTGCAAAGAACTTGGCTTAATATGCTTGTATCCTAGTGTTGAAGATAGAAATTGTGAGTAATGAAATAGGATATTTACCTAAAGAACGTTCTAAGAAAAATGTTAAAAGTGTGACTTCTCTTAAATGCTTATGGTAAAATTCAAGAAGACAGAAATAACTTAAAGATGAAATTTTTAAGTAAAAAGAAAGTAGATCTCAAAATTTTAGAAAACTATATCTACATTGAAGGTTAAAATATATTTGGAGAGAGAACAAAGATGTGGCAGACAAATTGTTTAACAAGAAAATTAGTATGGATCGGCCATGTTTATGGAAGCCAGATGCTATTCTTAACATAAAGGGAAAACTGACTCTGAAACATTTCAGAGACCATCAGTGCTGCCTCTCCCATCATAAGCCCAGATTTCCAGGTCCTAGAGGATGTAACAATGGGGGGAGGGGTGCACACAAGGACTTCCATGGGACCTTGGTGCTTGCTGCCCAGCAATATTTCTAGGCGCTGCTCTCCACATTTCAGTATCATGCTACATTGCTGCCCCAATATATAGCACTTCAGCGAGCCAAGGTCTTATCTGGTATGTGGTGGCTGCCCTTCTGGAGGGAATAGGCCATAAATCTTAAATAGCTTCATGTGGTATCATCTCCATAGGCACAGAATTCAGGAGCCACCTGTACCACAAAAAGTGCATGTCTCTACCTACATCTCAAATGATGCCCCGGAGAGCCTTGGGACTCAGACACAGAACTTCCATGGTGTAGCACCACTATAGAGAGCCCCAACTAAGGCAATGCAGAGCAGAGATGTGGTAGCAGAGTCTCCCCAAGACCCCATCCAGTAAAACCACAGGAGCAAGACTGCAGCTTTGGATAATCATGAATACATGATCCAGGCACACAGCCACCACAGAGATGAGGCCACCACAGAGAACTGCCATGAGGACAAAGGTCAGGCACAGAACTGTGATAGAGACTGAATTACTCAAAATAATGGGGATAGAGAGGAATGGCAACATTGGAGCTTCTTTAAGGTAGAATTTTATTCCTGTTCTTTTATAGTTTCTAAATTTTCTATAATAACCACATATTGTTTTTGTAACAAAATTATTGTAAGTACCATATAGCCTACAAAGGTTATATATCTATAATTATGTAATTTTGGTTTATACTACTTCTAGCTTCCAACAGGAAACAGAACTGTATACATAAATAAACAACTTATAATATTATCTCTATGGCTCATACACATGCAAAATAAAATTAAATGCATGTATAAGAACAGCTGTTTTATGTTGTTGGAATTATTTTTACAAAATTAGTGAGGAATCTCAGAAACATGAATATTTTATCTCTCAGTGATGTTATTTTACTTTATATATATTAATTAAAGATCCAAGTCACATTTTAAAAATAACAACAAATATTAAATGACTGGAGTTGATATGCTCAATAAATTAAAAACAAACAAACAAACAAACAAATGCTTACTTTGGAGAAATAGTCACAACATTCCCTGCTTGGTCAAGAGAGAAGTCAGCAGCATCTCTTCCAACAATTGTAGCATTATACACTAAGTTTTTCATGCTTGAATTTTTCAATACAATCTACATAGAAGTAGAATAGGGCATAAATAAGATAATAAATTTAAAAACCACACAACTGTATCATCTCTTATTTTACCCAGAAGGTTATACATTCTAATTATGGAAATACTTATTGCACACTAACTGGGGTAAGGCAGACTTTGTGTTTAAATATAGCACCTCTATGTAACTATGTATATATGTATTTATCAATCCATTCATACATCCATCTATTCATCCATATAGTTTATCTGAAGTTGGCAGGAAGGATCTTTCAACAAAGGAAATGTCACATGGAAAAATCAGTTGATCATCAAGAAGTTCAAGACAAATTTAACAATTTATATTTAACTGTTATTGCAAAGGGAAATAATTGAGTATTTTAAACAGAGAATTTGCCTATTATAATTTACCAAAAGGATAAATAATCTGCCTGCTCAATTCAGAAAGTATTATAAGGATGTAAGTTTAAAAACATAGCTTCAGTCTGGAAATGATCATGGCCTTGTCTAGAAGCAATAGTTTAGTTAGCATTGGCTGTCTCTTCCTAAACCAGTCAGGTACAAAGTATCATACAATCATTAGTGATTATTATTAGTGAGAATATTTTTTGAAAAATGTCAGCCCACAAAGTGTTTATGTAGAATATATTGGGGATTCAAAAAACAAATGAACAAAGAAACAAACATATTAAGAATTGACAAAGGGTTTGGGGTTGTAGTTCAGTGGTAGAGCACTTGCCTAGCATGTATGAAGCACTGGGTTAGATCCTCAGCACCACATAAATATAAATAAATAAAATAAAGGTACTGCCATCTACAACTAAAAGTATTTTTAAAAAATGAAAGAAAATAAATTGACAAAGATTTTTTAGTCCTTGATGAAATTCTAGCCAGGCTCCTTTGAGCTATTTCACTAGGTTCTATCTTTGAGCATGTCCTTAAGAGTCCTATCATCCATCCATCTATCTATCTATCTATCTATCTATCTATCTATCTATCTATCTATCTATCTATCTATCATCTGTCACTGGGGGCTGAAAAGGGGGCACACTACCATGGAGCTACATCCCCAGCCCTTTTATTTTTTATTTTGAGTCAGGGTCTCATTAAGTTGCTGAGGCTGATTTCGAACTTATGATCCTCCTTCCTTAATCTCATTTATTGCTGGGATTATATATATGTGCCACCAAGCCTGATGATAGTTCGATTTTAGCAGAATCTTGCTAAATTAGTTTAGTCAGAATCTTTTTCCTTTAATATCTAATCATCCTTCATATTGGACCAAATTCTTCATCCTCCACCATTTCCCAAGTAGGTGTCTTCTGATCATCCTGGCCTTCCTGCAGCAAGAATTTTGTTAGGTTGGATTACCCAGAATTTTTCTTTGACCCTAATCTTTCCTCTTAGTAACTCTCCATTTCTTTCTTGGCCATAAATTCTTACTTAATCTTCTTATATTCAGAGTTGAGTTCAATCTCTCTCTCTCCTACTACAAAATTGCATTGCAGTCCCTATGCCTATTGCGACAGTACTAAATAAATTCTGCCTTATTGTTTTAACTATTGTCATGAATAATTTTTTACCAAGATGCCAGGATATCATGAAAATTACTGACCAAAAGAGGGAGAAGACTTGGTGAAAGTGATGACCGTGAAAATCAGAGTGAAGCAAAAGTAACTAAAACATAAGTAGTCCCCAGGAGCTGTGGTCTCAGACATTTGAAAAACAGAAAAGTAGTAGTATGTGTAGTTATAGTGGATCATAAAGAATATGGTAGAGATTTGGTGAAAGATTAAATTACATAATTTCCCATTCAATGAGAATTTTAGTAACTACTAGAACAAGAGTGTTGATGCTTGAGAATTCGTCCCTTCCCTCTGCCTCCAAGAATATTGGGATTTCATGTTACTTAACAATTAAAGATATTATTTCTAATGAGGGAAAGACCATTCTAGTGTAGTATTTTTTATGTATGCACATGTTTATGCACAGTATATGCATGTATATATATGTCTGTATTTCAAGTATTCATTAATGGAACAAGTGATTTTGAAGTCCCAGCGAGCTCATTTCCATTTTCTTTTCGGAAAATGTTGAAAAATCATAGCAGATTCTTTATGGACTATTACTGGCTTGCAGTCTTGGAACTTTCATAGCCATTGCTTAGATCTTAAGGAAGCCACTTATTCTCCTTTTGTCATATTAGATATATGAAACAAAGGTATTAGATTCATCTGATGTAAAACTGTTCCAGTGATCTCAGTGTGAAATTTATTCAAAAAAAGAAGAAAAGTTCAATTGCTTTTGAAAATTCTCAGAAAATCACTATACTTTGTTGCTTTTTTTTTTCAATGACCACTATATTTTTTTTTACTAGTTCCATAATTCTGTTTCTCTTACTGACACACAGGCATATAGATATTTTTTTTCAATTTGAGAAGCCATTTGATAAGTTTTGTCTATATTTGGGAGGGTTGATAGGGTTGATAATAATGATGTTCTCTGACTTAGGCACCACCATTTATGGGGTTGATTCATAAGAGCAAAATACATCAAAGAGTCTCAATGATTTCCAAGTCACTGATTTTCTTAAATGAAAGACAAAAGCAAAGCATGTTGTAATTTAAGTTTTACATTGTATTTATATTTAATTTTTGTTTTGTTTCTTGAAAAACTTACCTGATATGTGTGAAAAGCAAAAACTACCTCTTTGTATTTAATGCATAATCTTAAGGTCTGAAGATTACTTCTAGTAAAGAGATAAATGAGGAAATACATCATGTTTTCATTTAAATATGTTTTCAATTTTTAACATTGTTATTGTTTCAATATGAGGTATTCCCTGAAAAGCTCATGTGTTAGGCAATGCAATAATATCCAGAGAGGGACAACTGGGTGGTAACTGTAAGCAAGTGTGGTATGGCTAAAGGAAGTAGCTCACAGGATGCATTGCTTGGACTATATCAGTCCATAGCTTCTTCCTTTCTCTTTGTTTCCTGATGCCATGAGCTGAGCAGCTTTCCTCCATCATGCCCTTCCACCATGAGGTTCTCTCTCACTTCAGGTCCTGAATAAGAGTTGACTGACCATGGACTGAACCTCTGAAACCATAAACCCAAATAACCTTTTTCTTCTCTAAGTTGTTATGAGGTATTTTGGTCATAGTAACAAAAAATCTTAGTATACAAACATCATAATTAATGTTTATGCTTATGTATTAGCTAGTGTTAGTATTAACTTTCTCTTTTTATGGTGCTGGGGATCAAAAAGATGGCCTGGTGCATGCTAAGCATTCACGTAACCACTGAAAACATCCATAACCCAATATTAATAATATTTGATAAATGAAAGTGATTAAGTGCTATAAATAAATATGAAGATGATATAAAGAAATATAAACAGATTTAGAAAATGGGAAATAATAGTTAACTGTAATAAATTTTGTTTTGGGAAAGAAACATCCAAAACCTTACTTAAGTGTTTAACTCCATATATCTTGTGGCCCCACAGATATCCTTACCTGTCTTATTACAGTGTCATAGAGAGTACAATGAAATGGCACCACCTTCTTGGGGAGGTATGTAGGGAGCCTTTCATACATATAGACACAAAGCATGAGCATCAGGATTGGATTTGGATCACAGATGTCAGTGGCCTAGTTCCAAAGAAGAGAAACATAAATTAGAGGATATACAGACAAAAAATACAAAGAAAGAATAGGTGTAATATACCAATATTGGATTATTTAAAACATTTTTAGCATGCTTTTGATGGACAATGACACTGAAACATAGATACAGAGAACAAAATATTATTCTGACTTAGAAGAGCTTGACCTAAGTGTTAAAGATGATATACTCTAATCAGAACACTGACCTCACATCACAAAGATGCTGAAGTAAAAGATGACAAGAAATTTTCAAGTAAAAGTCTATAGGAGTAAATGGCACATGAAATGTGGCATAAACAATGACTGGCACCTGTAATTTTGGCTCCTCAAGAAGCTGAGATAGGAGGATCACAATTTCAAGGCCAGCCTGAGCAACTTAGCAAGACTCTGTCTCAAAATAAATTGCTTTAACAGAAGGGCTGGGGATGCAGCTCAGTGGCAGAGTACTTGCCTAGCATTCACCAGACATGGGTTCAGTATTGGAAAAAAATAATTCTTGGACTTTAAATAGGTTGTGTCTGGTAACTGAGAAGGTAAATTCTATCAGAAAGGCAGAGCACCATGGCAGAGTACCCAGTGGCAGAGTACTTGCCTAGCATTCACCAGTCATGGGTTCAGTATTGGAAAAAAATAATTCTTGGACTTTAAATAGGTTGTGTCTGGTAACGGAGAAGGTACATTCTATCAGAAAGGCAGAGCACCATGGCAGAGTACCATGGAGCAAGGATATAAAGAAGCACAGAGTTTGTTCAGGAAAGGAGAACAATTTATATCATGCATAAGGTTAGAAGGGATAAGCAGTGGGAGAAGAGTGAGTTTTGGGTCACATTGTGGAGGTTCTGGATGACAGGATGAGGGATTTGATTTGATTTGATTTGTTTGGTACTGAGGATTGGATCCAGGGTTGCTTTACTACTTAGCTACATCCACAGCCCTGTTTATTTTTTATGACACAGGGCTCACTAAGCTGCTTAGGGCCTTGCTAAATTTCAGATGATGGCCTTAAACGTGTGATCCTCCTACCTCAGCCTCTGGAGTCACTTTAATTACAGGCATGTGCCACCATGCCTGGCAGGATTTGGTTTTTGAACAAGGAATAATGTGATGAAAAGCAACAATTCAGGCAGATCAAGCTTATGGTTATTGGGAAAGTGTCTTATGCAGAACGAACAATTATAATGCAGAAAATGTAACTACACTGATAAACAAGATAAATTAGAGATGGCTGTTAAAATTGATATAAGATAAAATTCAAAGTTATAAAGGAATAATAGCTGGGGCAATAAATCTATCCAAAATGTAAGCCTGAAGATAAAAACGTAGAATCATGCAGTTGTAGGAAGGACTCTATCAGTTTATGTAGTGCATGTGATCTCTTTGAAAAAGGTGAATGTAGTGGGGAAGATTTTCCACAGAAAAGAGGTATTGGGATTGGTGAGAGGCAGGCATCCAAAGACATACAAGACACTAATAAATGAGCATTTCTGTCATTGTCAATGTAAAGGGAGCTCTCAGCAGTCCCATGAAGATCTACTATGACTTAATGGCACACAACCAAGTTTATTACTGAAAATGATCTGGGCCTAGTCTGGAAGTACAAACAGTGTGAGCCAGGCTCTAATGTATTATGCAAGTGATTCTGAACTTTGGCAGCAGTTTCCAGATAATAATGATAGCCCCTCTGGTCATCTGCTAGTTTACATTTCCTAATACACTTTTGTCCTTCTTTGGAAGAAGTAAGGATTTGTTCTTTCTTGTTTTGCCAATTAGGAATAACGTTTGCCAATGAAGGTGTCTGGGGAGGAGACTGATTTAAAAATAAGTAAATAAATAAATGAATAAATAAATAAATAAGGAATTGTCCTGCCTACCTTAGCAGCATAGAAAGTTGCCTGAGGGTACGATTTGAGAATAACTTGGAAATATACCAAGTTACCCAAGTTTCTCATCAGTAGTCTATGACCTCACATCCCTCAATAAAGATAGTATTAAACAATAGACAAAAGTAAATGGTTCAAGAACAAATTAAAGACAAAATATAGAACATAGAGTTTAAGCATCTTTAAAGTGTAAGAAGGTAAATTTCAAAGTGAAGAATATGTCCTGGCTGGACCCCATGTATTGAACCAGTCCATGAAAGATATGATCCCAAGAGGAGCTATCTAAGGTAAGGAGAGATTTGTTTGTTGGAAAAAAAGGGAAAACTAGTGGAAAAACACTATGTATGGGCTTACATATGGGGTTAATGAAAGTCTTTTGAATCTGCTTTAGTATCTATGATACAAAATTGTATTAGTAGAAATGCAGAAATAATGTAAAAATGTATCTTTGAAAATATGATAAAAATCCAGTAATTTGGTAATTTAAAAATGTTTCTCTTAATGGAAAAACATGACACTATACTTAGAAATCAAATAAATCAAATAAAGGAACATTCTCATCTTTATGATCCATTTAACTGAAAATAATCTAAAGCAATTTAATCCTAGACTTTTTAAAAAGGCAAATGGTAAAATATGTTTCTTTTTAAATTTTTTTATTTTATCTTTTTAGAAATACATGAGATGCTATACATACATGGAGTATAACTGGTTCTAATTAGAACACAATTCTTGGTATTGCATACGATATGGATTTTCACTCATGTTGTATTCATATATGAACATAAGAAAGTGATGTCTGATTCATTCTACTGTCTTTCCTATTTCCATCCTTCCTCAATGGATTAGACAAAGGGGAATGAAAGCAAGTTATGTTTCTCTGAAAAAATATGTGAAATTCTTTTTAAAAACATAATCATAACTTTTCCTATATAGATCCAACCTTCTAGAACATCAATTGTATTAGTCCTTTTCCCCCATGAAGACAGCATTTTTCTATTGAATTAACAAAAGAACAGGGAAGTTAACTGGTATCGTTTGGATGTTGAATATCCCTTCAAAATTCCATGTGTTAAAGTCTTGGTGCCCAGCGTGGCATTACTGGAAAGTAGTGGAACTTTAATGGGTGAGGATAAGTGAGAGGTCTTAGGTCAATGGGGGTGTACCCTTGGAGGGGATAGTGGGACACTGTCTCTTCCTCTTTCTCTTTCATTTCTAAACCATGAGATAAACATTTTGTCCTTCCCATACTACTGCTGTGATGTACTACCCTTATCAGAAGCCCAAAACAATGGGGTCTCTTGATTTTAGACTAGAACTTCCAAAAACATGAGGCAAAATAACTCTTCTATCTTTACAATTTATTTCAGGCATTGTAGTAATGGAAAGTTGACTAATACAAATAAGCAAACAAAATAATAATAGAAAAAATGCAAAAGTAGAATCTGGTAAAATAAATTCAAGTTCTACTTCTGTAGAGTGCCATGCTCTTGACTAATTGAACTGGATTTCCTAGGCCTCAGTTTTATCATCAGTAGCTAGAAGAGGTGATGTGGTCCTGGCTTCATGATGGATTTAAAGTGCCATTACTAACATTGCCCCAAAACATACTGCAATCCTATAGATACCACTGTTGATTTCCCAGAAGCCAATTCCTTCTTTCATCTTTACTAAGAATCCCACTTTTTGTAGGAGTTCTATTCCTTTATCCACCACTGGTTTAGTCACAAACATTACACAATTCTTATCAATGATATGCAGTTAGAAATATGCTGTGAGGTCATTGGAAGAGGTTTAGTTTTTGCAAAATGAAAAGCACAATAAGAAGTGCTACTCAGTCTCAGATCTAGCTACATGAATGAAGGTGCTATGTGAAAATTTCAGCAGGAATTTTGGATTTCTTAGTGTACATGTCTAAAGGAAGCCAGAAGGCTGAGAATGGCTGAGCAAAAAGAGTCCTTCATAACTTTATTGGAACACTTGAATTCCTAGAATTTTTACTGCCTGACTAAATCTGATGCAAAATATTCCATTTCCTTATTTTTCATTAAACCTACTTTTAGACTCATGAATTTGGCTATTTAAGACTTAAAGTATCCTAGGTAACAAGACAAAAGCAAACAATAAATTTTAAAGACATAGATTATCTATTCACCCTTAGCTCCCATCATTACTCATTAAATTATATACAACCTGTATAAATTATTTATTAGCTTTATTTTCTTATGTCCACTTTTGCATGAGGGAATAAAATATACATGTTATCCTGATATCAATCAATTCCCATAATATTTCTGCTTTAAGTAAAAACTATATAATTAAAAAGGAGAATACTTAATAGCTGTATCTTCCTGATAGAAGGATTCTACAAGAGGATATAACATATACACAGCAAATTATCCAGCTGATTTTCCAGTTGTAACAAAGGACATAATGAAAACGAAACTTAAATATTAATAAATAAGTCCAGTGCTAAATGTCACAGGATCAAATGTGGACCAGTATAAACATCTACATTAATTTACTACTGATGAGTTAACTTAAGGATGACATTTCTAAATCTGCCATTTGACCTGGTTGGTAACTTTGGCATCACAATGGGCTAATAAAGCCTTGGTTATTATCTTCTATGTTAATTGTCAATTTCCTCATTAATCAAATCTTGAAATGCCTCCACATTTTATCTCGCAGATATTTATTTTTAAGTATTTTCTCTATATAATAATATAGACAGCTTGACTCAACATATCTGAGGAAATCATAATAGAAAAGGAGTGAATCATAATGTTTGATTGATTATATTTCTAAACAAAGATATTTGAAGTTTCTTGCAAACTGCTACCAAAGTCTCAAGAGCCAGCTTAAACACTGGGTCCCATGTAACTTTTCCTGGTTTCTTTATTATAATGATTTCTTGCCTCTGAGTCTCATAGTACATTGTTTCTCTATTACACCATTAACTGTCTTCTCTGCATCAGTCTTTTCTCATTTGCCTATTATTAGTATGAAAACTCTTTCATTATGTTTTATATATGAAATGTCTCCACAAAGCTAATGATTAGATTATGAGAGTTATAACCTAATCGGCGGATTAATCCATTTGATATATCAATATTTTGAAAGGACTTTAGTACTGGGTGATAACTGTTGAAAGGCTGAGTATGGCTGGAGTAAGTAGGCCACTGGGGGCATGCATCCCTTTGGGGTTTACATTTTCTCCTCAAAATGTAATGCCCTTCTCGTTAGCTCTCTCTGCTTCCTGGCTACCTGAACTGAGCAGTTTTTCTCTACTACACCCTTCTGTCATGCTGTTCTGCCTCATCTCAGGCCCAAAGCCATGGTGTTAGCCAACTATGGTCTAAACCTCTAAAACCATAATGCCAAAATAAACTTTTAAACCTCCTAGAAATCATTCTGGTTAGGGATTTTGGTCATGGCAACACAAAGCTGACTAACACACCTTTGAAGATGTAGGTAGAGTTTAACTATATTTGTACCTCTGTAGGGTCTATCCTGTATCATTCATGAAGGAGATTCAATCATTTTTTGAATTGACAGAAACTGTAAAAATTTCATTCTTCCAAACGAAGGTCTTTTTTAAGATGTTGTCTTCAAAACTGCACTATTAAAAAGAACTCTCTGACCAAAAATTTCTCTTTACACCTCTACCAATAGGAAAGAATTTAATTTTCAGGCCTGTTGCAAAATGACTTTAATATGCAAATTACTTTAACATAGAAAGAAAGTAAGCAATTGTAAAGCTCATTTCTCCAGCAATTATAAAGAACAATTATATACAGACTATATTTGGACCTGAGCATCAATCTTTTTGGAAGATAGAATGAAAAATTCATAACTGTTCTTTCTTTTTGCTCTTCTTTTGTAGCTAGCCACCAGATCTAGACAACCTCATGATTTCTCTTACATCAACTTATTATTATCAGTCACCATTCAAAATGATATGACTAGAAAAGTAATTTCTGTGCTCTTGGACTAATTGAAATTACATTCTGCTTGATTTGTGTTCCCTGTGGATAGCTTTTCTCCTCTCCGTCCATCCTGATCATTGTTACAAAAGTAAAAGCCTTTATTCCCATAATGTACACAGTAACCTCCTGACTTTTTCTGCTGATATCCAATATCCCATATGTACCTATATTTATATCTCTAACACCAAACTTCAACTATGGAAACCTATTCACAAAATATCCTTAATGGACATAATTTTCCCATACTACCAGTCTGTTAATGCTATTTCCTCTGAGCAAACAACTTCTTTCACCCCTTGAAATCCAAATACAAAACAACTTCTTTCACCCCTTGAAATCCAAATACAAAATAACCTTTTATGATCCCAACTTAGTCATCCCTTCTTCACAATGTCATTGGTGTAACAGACTACATCACATTGATCTCTTCCTTCGTCTGAATTCTGACTACATGTTTTGCAAATATTCCTATTGATATTTGATTAAATGAGCAAAACATCTTTTAACAGATATGCATCATGATGACTCAATAAATTTATATATTTCTCAAAGTTAGGAATCATTTATTGTATCATTTCATTATCCCTAAGTAACAAAGGGGTCATAAGATAGTAAATACATAATATATATTTGAATATTGCCATTGAAAACTTGGTGTGAAAGGTCAAATGGAATTATTACTTGCAATTAAACTTATATAATGAAAATGTGTATTGCCATTGTGACCTCTATACAGATATTTATTTCAAACCAAAAGTGAAAACTTTCATTATCTGATACTAAATTACAAGACAATTCAACATCTATATTCCTATAATTACCTCTCCTTTTAATTCATTTTTAGACCAAGAGTAATGTTAATAATGTACCTAGGTTTTGTTCTTATGGTTTCAGACACCTAGACTAGAAGTTCTTTTTATTACATATACTTGGTGAGATATAATCATTATATTATATGTAACATCAAATAATTATATACTATAACTTTTAACATCTAGTAGGTTTTTGTAGAGTCATGTTTCAATTACCAAACTTTAAGAAAAGTATGAATTTTTTCAATTTAGATTTAAAATTTGGGAACAAAGGAAGATTATAAAGGAGTAAACAAAAAAAGAAACTCATAAAATATATATAGAATGTGTGCTATAAAGGAACCAACCTGTATGTTCAAGTCAAAGCCAATTTCATAAAGACTATTTATAATAATCAGACAATTGTGAAGATACTGTTCAGGACGTCTTGGTCGTGTGTACATATTTACAAAATGAGACTTGATCTGGAAAAGGAAACAATCCTTATTAATAGAATAAAACTGCTGCTTTTCAAGTGTCTTCTGTAGTGCAGTAAGGACTCATGTAAATATTAGCATTTGTAAGTAACAGATTATTGCAATAAAGTGCACAAATAAGCAAAAAGACAATGCTAGTCATTCAGATTCATCTTTTTGAATTAAAACTAAGACATTTAAAATAATAAATTTGCAGAATATTATGCTTCAACCTTTAATCACCAAGTTCTGTTAAATGACTTACCAAAAATGGGCAATAGGCTGCCAACTGTGCTGCCAAAACAAGGCCATCTAAAAGGTCTTTGTCAAAATTTACTATCCATCTTTCAGAGGGAACAGAATCTATTTCAAAGAAAAAGAGTAAACAACAGTAGTTTTACTTTGTTAAAAGATATCTTATGGAAAATTGAGCTATAATGAGAGAAAATTTCGCCTTTGTTTAGAGAACAAAAAGCATATTATTTTGCTAAGAAAAATAAATTTCAAACAGAGTTTAGTACCATGAAATATATCTATCTGTAAGGCTTTAAAGACAAGCTGTCCCCTTCATTTCAATATGAAACTCTTTGAAAAACATACTATCATGCACTAATGTAAGAGAAATCCAATATTTAAAGACTATTCATCTTGTTGAGTAACTTGAGGTTCATATGTTTAATCAACAGTCATGAACATGCATGGGTAAGGAGGTTCAAAAGATGTGCTACTATTTGAATCTCTAGAGTTGTAGTGTCAAGATTTATTTATTTGTTGTAGAAATTCTTACACATGTAGAACATGTGGAAGAGGTTGGAGATTTATGGTTTAAACAAATCAGAACTGACCTATAAAAGATAATACAAGGGACTGGGTATGTACTACAGTGGTAGAGCACTTGCCTAGCATGCATGAGGCCTTAGTTTCTATACTCAGAACTACATAAAACAAAAAGTATATAAGATGGAAGAATAATGAAAGAATTCTCAACTACAGAAATGATCACTATGCCAAGACTGGAACAAAAAGTATCTATATATTAAGTAAGTATCTGAAAAACTTTCCTAAATTGGGAAGAGGGGTAGAAATAATTGCTAGGTTGAATGCAACATTTTAAGTTTCCAAAACAGCTAAGATTCTTCTTAGTTTGAAGATAACTTCCAATCAGAAATCAAAGAGAAAAAAATGGTGATCATCACAAATCCCCCCAAATTCCTTGAATCCCATTTTATATGAAGAAAAATCCAAAATAGGATGTATTCATGATGCATATTTTAATTTCACAAACTAGGATTGGTTTACATTTGCAAGGGAAAGACTTCAGTTTTTCTCTTGAAATGTAGATATTCCCTACTTCACAGAAAGTTCTTGGAACTTTTTCACCTGAAATGCTTCAATTTTTTTTTTCTGATGGAATCATATGACTTTATGTTTGATAACAGGTATAGTGTCATCAAAACAATTATTTTAAATGCAGATTGCTGGTTGGCTGAATAATGATAAACCAAATGTGCTTCTCCTCTTTTCCAGCCTTGAGGCATAATTGACAAATAAAAGTTGTACATCTTTAAGGCATATGTGGTATTTTGATATAGGCATATCTTCTGTAAAGATTCCCATAATCAAGCTAATTAATATACCTGTCACTACATGGTTACCATTGTATGTGTGTGTATGGGGGGGTGGGGATCACTTAAAATCTACTCTCAGCAAATCTAAATGTGTTTCTCTTAATTTAACATCTATGGATTTCAATAAAAATATAGATTTTTCACTTTTATAACCAGTATTTATTTTTCTCAGAAGAGATGAAGTAATATCGTTTCATCTGAAAAAAGCAATTTACTAGCCTTTTACATTGATGGTAGTCAGTCAGCCAGCAATGGATATAAATTGTATCCACAAGAGAGCAAATGCACATCCTGTATAGACATTAGCGAAAGGATAAAAACTCCATTGCAAGAGTTTAGTCTTCATCATCTGGAGCTTTTTTTCCAAGCCCACCATTGCCCACCAAGTTCCTTAATGCAATCCAACCCTGGCAAGGGTACATAGGAGTCTTCCTTGTCCCTATACCAGGTCTGCACTATGGAGAACATGATCTACAGATTCACTCCAATTATCTCTGTGAGTCACCAGTGGATGAAGTTCAGGGAGTGAAACTTGCAAGAGAGGGGATACATGAAGTATGGCCCCTTGGAGCTTAATAGTCTCACTGGACTCGATCAGTTAAACAAACACCCTAACTCAATTCTTCTAGTTGTATTTACCATAAGTACACCATGGCTATCATCTCATTTGTTCTTGTAAGAATCCAGTCCCTCCACGAATTTTGGACTACTTTCTTGCCTTGCAGCCCCAGTTTTCTGGATATTTTTTAAAAAATCCAGAATTTGTTGTTTGTCTTGATTTTGCTGTTATTACAAGGGTAGGAGCAGAGTTTTTTTCTAGTTTTCCATTCTCTTCAGCAGAAATAAGTGACACCTATTCTTTGTTCAACCTATCACAACTTTGGAGCTGCTTTGGTTATTACTTACCAGTAGTCATAAGCTGTTGATGCTCAAACATGGCTTTCAGTAAGAATAGAATGGCAGTGATATTTCAGAACAATGTTGGGAAGAAGTAAAACAAAACTTTAAAGCTCTTCTTTAATCTCACATCCCATGCCTGTATCTTGTCTTTTATATCCAAGGCTGCTGCCAAGCCCTCACTACAGTTACCATAGCCTTAGGAATGTCAAAGATTCTCTTTGCTTTCATGATAGTTCTTTTGATACAAAATATTCTTTCTTGTATACTCCCCCTAAGGTTTTGCTTCTCAATGTGAGCTAGGCGAATCAGCAAAACCATCATCAAATGGAAGCCTGCTGAAAATGCAGAATTTTAGGTCCAATCCATCATTTAACTAAGCTATAAAAATAGCTTAACAAAATCTCTCCAGGTGATTTGTATTCACATTACCATCTGAGAAGAGTTGGACTAGGTTGTTCTGTTTTGTTTGTTTGAGAGGGAACCAGCAATCTACTCTAGTGACCATTTGTCAGGAACCAGAAAATTCAAATGACGATTGACACGTTTTAAAATTTTATTTTTCAAGTTACACTTTTGACTATTTTTACTTGACATTATCTCAAATATAAAGATACATTAAAATAGTAATAAAAATGCTGATCCTAAATGGTATTAAGAATTAAGAGATTTTGAGATTAAACATAAAATTGAATCATTTAATACGTGCTCTCACTTTTTAGTATAATTTCTATGTAAATTCTATTTTAGCTTATTATAACTAGATTTTTACAAAATTTAGTTGAACATGGACACAATACCTTTGTTTTATTTATTTATTTATGTTATGTGGTGCTGAGGATCAAAGCCAGTGTCTCACACATGCTAGGAAAGCACTCTACCACTGAGCCACAACCGCAACCTCTATAACTAGATATTTATAACAGAAATAATTTATATAACAAATTTCATCCACTTTTAATTGTTCAATTTATTGCCGTTTAATACATTCAGAGTTGTATGATCATTTCTACTATGTTTAGAATATTTTAACTCATTTTTTTCTTGACAAAAAATAATTCTATATACTTAACAGGTAGAGTGCAAAATTTCAATACATGAACACAATGTTTGATAATCAAATTAGGATAATCAGCATATCCATCATCTCAAACATTTATCATTTATTTGTGTTGATAACATTCAAAATCCTCTCTTCTAGCTATTTTGAAATATACAGTAAATTATTAACTATAGTTACCTTATTATGCCATATAACTTATTCGTATCAACACAAAGAAATCCCACTGCAAAATTCTTGCTGTCTCCATATTCTAGAAAAGCAAATCTGCTGTATGAAATTGCCTATTCTGGGCATGTCAAAAAAATGGAATCATAAAATATGTGCTATCTTGTTTTCCAGTGTTTTCACTCAGCATATTTTCATCCATGTTTTAGCATGTGTCAAAGCTTCACTATTTTATATGGCTAAATAACATTAGAACTTTTGAATGCATATATATTTAATACATATATTCACATAGTATATTATTATTATGTATATTAATAAAGTAGAATATATGCACACACACAAATAAAATGGTTTGTTTATCCCTTTATAAGTTTATGGGCATTTGTGTTGACTCTGATTTTTGGCTATTATGAATAATGATGTTATGGACATTCATACAAGGTTTCTGTGTGGACATATGTTTTCTATTATTGTGAGTAAACAAACTAATGAGTAAAATTTCTGGATCATATCACTAATCTAGTTTTTAGAAGACTTTGTTTTTTAAAAGAACTTTTAAGGTCATAGCAAAACTGCTGAGAAAGTACAAAGATTTCCCATATATTCTGTGCTCCAATGCATGCACATCCTCTCTTATTGGTTAATCTATTTTTTTAACATTTTGAGAAACTGCCAAACTATTTTCTAAAGTGATTCTACCATTTTACAATCCATTTAGCAATGCATGTAGAGTTCCAATTTCTACAAATCTTTGCCAATACTTGCTATATTC